CGTGGAGTCCTATTCAGATAGTGCTTTTTATTAAATAGATCATCCAAAAGAATGTAAAAACAGATATTTGAAGTAAAATAAACTAATATTAATTAATAGTAAGTACATGCTTCTTTTATAGGTAGCATTCTCTGCTACATCTGTTAATTTGAATTTCAATCTCCCTAAATACATAGCTAAACAAACATCATCTAAACAAACATCATTAAATTTTGTCACATTAAATATGATTCATATATGATGCCGCTGATGAGAAGATTCATTCTGAAGTGAAATCTGGTTATAATTTACTATTGTAAGTCTTTTTAAATCTTTAATGATATTGGTTAAAGTCTCCTCTTCAAGTATTTTCAAGTACAGAATTCGAAGAAATCTGTATTTGAATATATTTTAACCGTTAATCCTTTTTATCATGTAACATCTATAAAAACATAATTATAAATTTAATCAAGCTCACAAAGTTTAAACAAAATAATTAAAACAATGTCGATCGAGGGATTAATTAAGGTTATGACCTATAATATTCAAAATTTAATAGTAAATTAGAAAAATTTACAGCAAATAACAATAGTGTGCGATACATCCGTCAATCACTGTTTCAACAGCAACAATCAATACTCCTTTGATAAAGATCTTTTCATTTCCAGAATAATTTAACCTAGTCATCATCATCATTCCTATCAGTGTTCAACAGGAGAAATATGTGAACGAAAAATTGCAAGAATGAAAGAAAGTTAGGAAAGGAAAGAAAGAAACCAATTTACTATAACTGCCAGAGTAAATATATCAGGCCAGGTTGAATGATATATGTTGAAAGAAGAATGAAATGCACTAAATAATGTACTGAGACTATCACATCATTTTTAATAGATTCGAGAATGTCAACAGTATAGGAGATGTAGAGGTTGGAATAGCAACGAGTTTGTCAATGCTATCACACAGCTGCTCGGAAAAAAAAAAAACTCGATTTGATTGCTACACAACCATAACTGATATCAGCTATCATTTTTATCGAAGGAACATGCTTTCTCTTTTCTTTGTACAACAATCATTACTCATCATTAAAAATCTCTTTCTGAGATTTCGGTAGTAGTTATCTTCTGTTTGATGTATACCATCATATACATACAGATACACATACACATACACATACACACACATACACACACACACACACACATAACAAATCTTTCCGAACTATTAATTTAAACACTGCTACTAGCACCTCCCTCTATTTCATCAAACATGAAACTACACTATTGCCATTTCATGAAAATACAATGAACATCTCTTTCAATCATCGGTATCGTTATTATCATTGTTATTGCTATTCTTTTATTTGCAAAGATGTCGTCGTTACTCTCTTCTCTCTCATTTTATTTTTCATTCAATGTGAATGATTTTCAAACCACACAATACGAGTACAACACCCAACCCATTTAATTTTCCACGAATGATTTAAAGTACTTCCAACAGTTAAATTGAAAAAAAATTTTTAGGTAATAAATGAAAGAGTATCATGAATATTTCTGTACTTTTGTTTCTGTGTATAAAACACTTGCAAAGATTAATGAATGAAATCGACATCATTTAATTCGATCACTTAAAATTATCAATTGACAAAAGTGACAACTTTATCAAACAATATGAGCTGTACGAACAGTTCCAGTGTTTATGAAGCAATGTAATCTAGAAATTGATCTTATTTACTTAGTACTGTTTATTTCATTTGCTTTCTTAAATATCTGCTTTGCTTAAATTCTTGTTTTAGCTAGTCAATCGTTTACTTCTTTTCAAATAAATCAATCATCCTAATCTTTTGCTATAATTTCATTTTTTTCCTCCGGTGAAAAGTTTTATAAAAGCCTTCCAGTGTATTAATTCAACTTTTCTGACGATTAATTTAAACTTGCAGAAAAGTCTTCTTAACTTTCTAAACTGAATTACCGCAACAGGTCTTAAAAAAATTGGTTCTCAAACGCTAGCAAACACTTTTATACAAGGCCTCAAAATTGAAATTTTTAGTCTATTACTGCCTATATATCATACTTTCCATTTTCCACGACTTTGTTTTCTAAGTTCCTGTTTTGTCATTAAATAAAACAAAGATTTCCTTGTTCATGACTGGAACAGTGTTCGCTTCAATAAAATGTGCAAATCAAGATAAACATTGTATATCTTCGAACTCACATCCGAAATTATATTCTCATTTTATCTTTTCAATGTAAAATTCATTTGTCAAAGTTTCAAAATTAATTCTCCCTTCTGTTATCCGTTCAATTATCGATGATAATAAGATTTGGAAAGAGTTACATTTTTTTGAGTTCCGGTCTACACTCTTTAAATACTCGCTCATAATAAATAATAAGTAGCACGTCAGCAAATAATGAACAGGTGATGTGCTAAGTAATTTAAAACATATTTGCTGTTTACTTGTTCGCTAATTGTTTACTTCCCAAATTTTTCCTTGGTTTACTTAACTGCTTTTTTTTTTAAATTTACTCTTTAACTCACCAGCATACTCATTCAACATCTCAACTCTATGAGCATTTCTGAACTTCCCCAATATAGAATGACCCACAAGTTCAGAATGATCTTTGTCCTTTTTATTCCGTCCTTTTTTCTGAAATGTCTGTTTTCGATACTTTTCAATGTTTATCTAGCAACTATTCATTCAACATACTATTAGTGCCATCATATTTTCAATCAATGTGAAAGAACCAACCATTTCCGTCCGGTAAGCCATTTCACGTTCAAAATCGGCCAAATGGGAAAAATGTCGATCATTTTCGAATAGTGTACTGATATGTGAATAATTTAGTACTGCCGGTATGAGTGCTGAAATTAAATTTTAAATTTTGGAAAAACTCCAAAATTTTAACAAAAACAATTACATTCTCAAAAGAAACCAATCAATATAATCGGGTTATTAATCTCTTTCAAATCTCCATGTCTTTTTCCGCATCAACAAAATTCTTTCACTTTCTTTTTATTAATTTAATTCACTTTTATCGGAAATCTACTACAATTTGAAGTTACTTTTTTCATTTTATGCGATTATTTAATGGCAAATTGATGAGGACTAGAAAATAATGAATTTAGCGCATAAGCAAATAATTTCGCTAACTTAATGAAAGAGAAAATATTTGCCACTGATAAATGAGAGAATAAAAAGCTTGTTAGGTTAGTTAATCAAATGAAGAAAACTTGTTCAAGCGAACTTAATAAAACGTCCCAATAAACAAGGCACGCTGTAATTAACCAATTTCCTGTACAATATACATAAATGCACTCTTTTTCATGTTTAATATAGTTTTGGAACTGATTGAAGCTAACAAACTTTCATTTATTTGTAGTATTTTTCGTAAAGGATATAACTATCCCTATCTTATTATTTTTATCAGACATCAAACTATTCATTGATCTGTATTATCCTGAGCGGTAGCAGAAAAATTAGGTCAAGGTCATAGTGTGATAGTTTTCGGTACCTTTGAAACCAGTACTTTTTATAATATACATTAATTGTTTTAGTACAATTAGATGATCTTTATATTTCAAGCTATTAATAATGATTTTCTTCTTTCTTACATGAAATAATTCCTATTATTTCATTCTAAATATTATTGATGCCCAAACTTTTTTAACTGTTGATCACAAAACTGACTTTATTAAACATGAAAAAAAATGCATTTTCACTTGCTGATGATTGATGAAAATTTATTAGGCTTCTCCATCAAATTTTCTCTTTGAACTAACATGGCTAACTTTTTATTCTTTTTTCTCCTGGCAATATTTCCCGCCCCTTAAAGATAGCAAAATTTCATTTTCCTACTTGTTATATTCATTATTTTCAACTCAATAAATTCACCTAAAAATCGATCGGTAATTACAAGCATTCCCTAATAGTTAATCAACTAATTGTCTTTAACCTTTTCCGATCAACGATTACCTGTATACCGGCTTATCATTCATGCATTACCAAAATTAACTAATTTCAGGATCGAAAATTTTTTCTTTGAACTTTGGATAGTAAAATTGCGCGAGACAAACTGGAAATAATTCATGTGAATACCTTCTGCAGGTATTTCTTCACCGGAGTTCGCCGAACATATTTACTTGCGCTTTTGAGACTCCTATTTTTAAGAATTTTCTGAGAAAACATAGTTCTTCAAGCAGACTATTATACTTTCCTGGTATGTTCAATTCGAAAAGAAAGTGCAAAATTCATCATTGAAACAGAAATCAATATTGCGCTATCAAGCGGCTCTCGAAGTTATTTTTCCAACAACAGTTACTCCTTAATATTAAAATAATAAGAAATATTATGGATTAAAGTTATATTAACCTCTTCTTTACTGATTTGTTTTAATTTGAAATCAAAGCTTTGAAATACTTTAATTTCCACGCTAAATGATTTCATAACTTAATGGTTCAAAAATTCTCTATTCATTCGCGGAGAAAAGAGTTGTGTAATGAGTAATATTTATTTTATGAGTCAAAACTACTTATTACAATGAGTCTGTTAGTTTTTTCTTGAACAGTTTCAGTTTCATCTCACGTTGTATGGAAGTCAACAGCAGAATCATCATTTTCTGCGTCTTCTGGACGATTCATTTCTGGGGTATGTATTTTGCACAATCTTAAAATTATTTCCCACGAAATTCTGTCCGAGTTATGCCATTTGTGGGTGATATTTAAATATAATGAAACAAATGTACAAAAGCTCCATAAAACCAAAAAAATCTCGTCGGAAAAGGTCAAGCAGTCAAATCAACAGCAGCAGAAACAAATAGATTAAGAGAAATAATTTGATAGTTAAAATTACCTTTCATATCTAGGATATAAAAAGTAATTTTAACTATCAAATTTTAAAAAATTAATAAAAAGGTAGTGAATTCAGTAAAAGTGCACTTAAAAAAATCTTTCAAACTACTAGAAAAATATATATGGAATGTTCCATTAAACAATTACAATAAATAGTGGGCCATCTATTTCACTAAATGGATGAAGATCAGTATAATAAGAAGTTGGTAAAATTATTCCAGCATGTAAAAATTGCGGTATTAAAACACAGTAAATGGTTTTGCTCAATAAGTTTTTTTCCGAATAGAAAGTAAAAATAAAAAATGAAAAATCCAATTTATGCTCACTTTGCTTAAAAATGAACAAAAAAAAAAGCATAAAATAAAGGAAACTGAAGAATAAAAGTCAACCTTCGTCAATTTAATTGCAGCGACAACAGTCTCACCAACTGAAAGCATTTTGGAGGAGGACCAATTGAACAACAATAAAATTATCAGCTCGTCAAATTTGATCTTCTATTTGTTAAATAATTTGAGCAATACAGAAAGTAAAACATTGGATAGATATCTGTGTGAAAAGAATTACGCTTCGCTCAAAATCATGATTGATCGTAAACGGGCTGAAGTAAGTTAGCAATGAGATCCTGTGAAAATAATTATTGTTGGGATTATCTCAGAACAGGATGGAGAAGAAAGATGTTTACTCGAGATATCATGATACATTATTTCAACTTGCACCACGATAAAAGTATCTCTTCCTACATTCCTTCTGTTATTTTTAACAAATTCATCAGCTCCATCTTCTTAGTACAATCGCAAAAACACATCATTATGTATATCAGTTAAAAATCTGATAAGTGTATCACTTAAGTTAAGAGTCTGATATTCCCTCTTAACTCCTTAAGTTCTTTTATGCACTTCAAAATTGATATAAAAGAGAAAAATTTAATATAATGCTATATAAAAATTCAGGACATTCTTCACAAAGTCAATTCTCGACTTAATTAAGTGAAGAGGTTGGTTTTACATTTGAATTTACAGCTGTTTCGAGCGAAAAATAAATCTTTGAAGAGTTTCGTAGATGCTTCACAGAGAGTTGCGGAAAAAGCTGAAATTGATGAAGACTTCTTGAACGCATCTGTACCACTGAATTTCACACAAGAACAATTTAAATATGCTGAAGCATACCGAGTAAATTTATTTTTCTTTTCTACTTCCTCTTAAGCTTCTCCTTAATACTTCAGCACATTTTATTATATTGCTTCACACAAAAAATTAATTTCAATTTCAGAATGCTACTATATATAGCATCATTCAAGCTCTGTGGAACACGAAAGTTGAACAAGAATTACCACAGATCGATCAATATGCCATTTTAGAATACTACAGTGAAAAACGTGCGAAGAAGGAAGCAGAAAAAAGTATTTTGATTTGGCTGTGGAATATAATCAGAAAGCTGTTTGAGTATGTTTTTAGAAATCCACTCCAAAAATCAGAGCAGTAGTTAAGAGAAAAGATCATCATGGTATCATTTAATTACAAAATACTACATGCTTGCAAGGCTAAATACCAAAATGGTAATAATATTCCAAATGCAACCATCTATATAAGTTTCTGGCCAAAATATACTACATTTTAGCAGCGCTGCATCTCATCAGCCTCTCATCAATTCTAACATTCTATTTCCATCTTTGTACACAGAATGAAAAACAAACCTATAGCACCATTTCAATCATCATATTAATAGATTGATTCAATCTTCAATGAAATTCGCCTTTTCTTTTAGCCACGTAACAAAAAAAAAATTATGCTTATAAGCAAATTTGTTTTTTGCTTAACACTTCCACAAACATGACTACATATTTTCAAACGATGATAAGCTCACTACAATACAGTACTTAAGCAAGAAAACATACATGATGAAATTATGATGAAGAAAAACTTATTGTTCATTTTTGTTTCAGCAGAAAGAGTGATAAATTTGAATGCCATGCAAGTGAGCCTAAATATGTACGAGCAGTGCTGGATCGCTGTGGTGCAAGTGAATTAGAACGCCTGCAGGAGGCCACCGATAACAACGAACCCATGCTTATCAATGATTTGATCAAAAACAAACTAGATGACGACTCAGAAATGTATATGGAATATGATAAATGGAATAATGCAAATGATGTGCCCGGAGCTCTAAAAGAAATAATCCATAGTTTGAGTCAAGCACAAAAAAGGTTATTGTCACTTCAAAACCAATTCTAATAAAATCTTTGAAATTCAAATAATCCTAAAATATTATTAGAGAAAGCAGTAAATGTAATAATTGCAAACACTTCCAAAATTATTGCAAAAAAAAAAGAAATTATAGGGCAATGGAAAGCACTTCCAAAATTTATACCTCAAAAAAATATTCCAAATTTATATCCCAGAAAAAATGACTGCAAAGTTTTTGCAAAAAAAAAGAAATTGTAGGGCAATGGAAAAATTAAGAAGGCTTGAGCTAATTGATAAAATCAAGGACTTCTATCGCGATAACATCGAGAAAACAAGTCTACCAAAGCAGGAGGTTGATCCATTATTTATATTTCTGCTAAATTTCTGCTTAATGAATTGTTCAAATCCGTTAAAAAATGTCTAGATTTTATAATTAGTAGTAAAACTTCAGGAAATTGAATTATTCTTCCGACGGATGAATACGACTTTTGCTGGATGCTACAATCCAAACATAAAGAAGACAAAGGAAAGGCAGGTGTTTCATCTGATTTTAGTTAAAATCTATAGAATAACAACTAAAACAGAGATATCCAGATATCACATGCACCATACGTTTTTAAGAACAGAGTGACTGATTTTAAGATTTTTTTTTAAAATATTTTTGCTACAAAGTATGCATTCAAAAATCTCGATTCATAAAAAGCTTCACAAGGAGCCATTGATTAATACTCAGTTTTTTCAGGAGAGTTTTCCGATTTTTTTTAAAGAAAAGGTTACAATAGAGATCCTAATAGTTTCCCTATGGTGATGTAAACTTCTTCATTATCAAACAAAACGATAACCTCATTCCAAACAGTAATTTTCAGATACGAAACTTGACGCTGAAATCATCATGAAATTTAAATTTGTTAATAATACTATTGTTTAATATTACCACTGTACAAAGGTATTTGCTGCATAGTAATTATTAAAGTCTGCATAAATATGAAAAATTATCAGCGCCTATCTCAGTGCAGCTTATCACAAAATTTAATCAAAAAGAAAGAAAAAATTTTAAATGGAGTAATTCATGAAAATTTCCAAAACATTACCAGTAAAAAAATAGATTTCTATCAATAAGAATATCACCTCCACTGCCTACAGAATTTTTGAAATAAATGTATTTGTGATCATAATTTTAAATTATGATACAAATATATTTATTATGACCACAAATATAGTGATCTTTTTTTAATACAACATTTAAAAATACATCATGACCAGATGTTGATAAATGTGAATAAGTAAGAGCGACAAACAATGGAGCTTTTACATATGACTTGTATAAGGTAATCTCTCAATTAGTTTACACTTACAGCAGCATCGTATCCATAAACTTTTTTTTTTGTTTAGAAGTTACAACTACATTTCTAATTGAAGATGATTGAAGTATAACCCTCCCTAACCGACATCAATCTATCATTTTTTTATAATTCAACATATCAAAAAAGATCACTGCTATCATAATTAACCATTAATAAATCAGTGAAAGAAGTAAGCATGGTACGAACCCATCAATGTAACACCAAATATCCAACACTTCATTTGCGGATTTGACTTCGTCTCGAGCGTTCCCCATCTTTGTTCTTTCTTTGCACAACTTCCTCCCTTCTTTCTTGTTGACTTGCCCATCGTAATTTAGAATCAGCTCAATAAGTATACAAAGTCACCTGAAATCAATTAACAAGCAAAAAAAAAAACGATATCAATATAAATCAATTCAACGAGAGCAAATAATGTTTAGCACTAGAACTAAAAAATACTTCCATCTGAAGAAAACACTAAAAAATCATTACGAGTTCTGAAGGTACTTCATTTGAGGAAAATTCTGACGATTTGACTATATCTGACTCAGCTATAATCAAATCATCAGAATGCCAATTCCAGATTTAAATGAAGAGAGAAGACGTGAACTAAGAAAATTACTGAATACGCAGAACAATCAAAAATAACACTTTCCATCCCTTTTTAAATCTAGTATTCTTTGCTAATATTCTTCTGAAAAATTTGCCTAACAAATAAACAAAATTACACTAAAAAAATCCAAAGGATAAAAAAAAACAATACCACCTAGCACAAATTAATAAGCACTGCAATTTAATTAATTTTTAAAACAAATTTCGATACCTTCATTTCACAATCGTCTTGCGGCCTTGTGAAAAAGAGCGACATTCTCGTGAAAATTGAAAGCTATCACTGTGTGTGTGTGTGTGTGTGTGT